TTAGATGAACTGACAGGCTTCCGACAAAAGTACAAGCGCAGCTTATTTTTACAGTCATGTACACAATTGAGTACATAGCGTCATAGAGGTCAGAAACAGAAAAGTCTTTCAAGTGTGAAATTTGTAGTAGCAGTTACGATCCTTGGTCATGCAGAGTGGCACTTCACATTTCTTGCAAAAAACTCGTGATCTTCCTTTGCAACCTTCATACTTGCATCTAGAAGGAAGCGTTTGGTCCCAAGCTTCTGGCCAATGATCCGTTCCATCATAGCGTGCATCCGAGCAAGGCCGTCGAATGCGGGCTTTCCTCTCTCAGGAACATCCGCCGTTTCGACTTCGTAGGAAGGCCTTCCGCGCTTTCTTGTGTTTGTTACGCTGCTAATGAGAGCCTCAGCGATTTGCAGACGGAAGTGCAGAAGATCAAGCAGCTTTGATCGCCGTGTGTGTGCATTCTACGCAAATACTCCATCCAAGCATTACAGCAGCTAGGTCTACAAAATGGATATCGCCTCAGCGTCCATTTCTTTGACCTGATCTTGGTGCGGTACAAGCTCAAGAGAAAGTCCATCTTGTCCACGCCTCCCATACTCGATTGTACTTGGCGATGACCTACGGCTGCTTCACTAAAAAAAATTGCCCGCAGCTTCCCTCGGGGGAACACTGAGGGGATGCGGAGCATATAATTGGTTAACGGGGTGTTAAAGTGCGACTTACTTGGGTCGATGGCTAAATTGGTTAACGTGGTTGTGAAATGGGGTGTTAAATTGCGACTTACTTGGGTCGCTGGCTAAATTGGTTAACGTGGTTGTAGGAGGGGTGTTAAATGAGTGAACACGTACGACACGTATGCGAAAGGGCGGTGTTATTTATTGCGACGAACTTGAGCCGATGGCTTTTAGATGCCACTTTGGCCGGCGCTGGTCGAAGGGACGTCGATCATTGCGACCTCGGACGTCGACGCGCCGTACAAACCAACCGACGAGCGGCAACTGAGCGAGCGAGCACCGACCTTGAGTATATATACAGCGCGACGGCGCATGCACTGTCAGCTGGTCGAATGTTCGAGAAGGGGGAGAAGCGCAACGGCGCATGCGCGCTACATTATACAGCTAGCGAATGTCGTGAAGAGGAGAAGCGCACGCGGTGTGTAGAGGAGGAAGGGTGCACAGATGGTGGAGGAGTGAAGCGCGCACGGTGTGTAGAGGAGGAAGGGATGCACAGATGGTGGAAGAAGGAGGAGGAAGCTTGCGGACGGCGCCGCACTACAAGCCTCGAGTATTAGATGCTCCGCATCTAATATGTGTTCACGCTTAGTTTTGTCCCACCTCCTGACATCCTCTTTATTACCAATGCCATTAAAGTTGGACGCGTCCGACACATCATTGTTGTCTTTCCAGACCACTACTACAACATCATCACTTGTGACGTATTCAGCAGAGTATCCCCGCGGCTTTTTGTTGATCACCTTTTTGGATTCAAGAGGGCACTTTCCCAGCCTGTTTTTTCGCACAGTTCCAGCTGCCAAAATTATGTGCTTTCGTAGCTGGCGAAGGAGAGGCACTGATGTAAAGTAGTCATCAAAGTAAAGTTGGTAATTGCATCCATAAAAAAATTCTTTTAGATAGATGCAAGACAACACCAAACAAAGACCGTATTCTTTATTCAGGTCGGCGGGAATCGTGTTTTCCCCCCTGGTATATTGCAAAGTCGTAGAGTAAACCACTGCTACCACACAGATCAAACACTTTTATGCCCCAGGGAGATGGGTTGCCTTTCACATACTGCTTTGTGGAAAGCTGGCCTTTAAAAGGGATAATTTGCTCGTCGACTGAGCATTCCTGTTCAAGAGCCAGCTCCAAGCATCGGTTTCGTATGAGCTCCAGAAATGGACGCACTTTCGGCAGGCGATCTTCACTGTCAAATCCAGAATGTTCTAGAACAATGTGAAGATTATTTCGAAGCTTTAAAAAGCGCTTCTCCGTCATAGTTTCGCTGATGAGAGAAACCTTCATCATTGGGTTCCAATACAGCCTTACCCGAGGTAAGTGAACGACGCCCATCAGGATATGCATACAGAACAGCTTTCTCATTTCAGTGGTTGTGGTATTCACATTATGCAGAGTGTTTTCACACTATATTGATTCGTGTTTTCTGTTATTACTCTGAAAATGGACTCGGGTACGTACCTCGAAAAGTACGTGTATGGCGCACAAGTTTCATCCGCCTCCGGTGGGCACTCGTTGGGACCGCTGAAGTCGATGTCTGATGGGGGCGCGTAAACTTTCTTTTTCCACAGAAAGTTCTTCGGTACGTTGTCTTCAACACGTATTTCTTTCAATGGAGACCTGTCGCCCCCGTCTTCGCCTTTAGTGGAACTCGGCGTGTCACAATTTTCCCGCGGAACATCTTCCTGTGGAATGTCGTCTTCATCGTCGCTTTCACCGATGTCAGACACATTCCCGGAAGCAACCTTCTCTAGTAGTCTGTCGGCTGTTTCTTTGGTTGCATGATGCGACTTTGCTTTGTAAAAAGTCGCACAAGGCAAGCCGATAAAATCTGAAAAATAGCAGTGACGTACGCGGTTAGACAGCAATTGGCGTGTGGCCCTCTTTTCTTCCACTATCACGCTTTGTACACAATAGTGACCATGCTCCGCTGGCAATGCAGTCTTTTCCTTAACGCTGAGTATTTCCAGATACGCACATGTTCGCGTATAAGACACGGTTACCATATTTTTTTAGAGGCCACATGGACCCTTAATAAAAGCAGGAGAAATCATCGAAGGAGCTCACCTGCGGAAGCTGTCGCATGCGCCGCCATGTTGTTTGTTCATGGTCGTAATTCCTTTATTATTCGGCAGATGGCCCTAAAAACTTCAGTGTTGCCAGACGAGGGACACACAAATCGACAAAAGTTATCGAAAACCTTCATTTTTCGATTGTTTTTTCATAAAACCGTAAAAATCAAATGTACACAATTGTGTGCATAGCGTCTGAAAGGGCTAGGTGACATTTAGTAGGTTCACGGTAAGACCAGCTTCTTTCAGCATGTTCGGCACAACGCGTAAAGGCTCAACACGTTCTTTCCAGTTGTTTGAGAAGATGGCGACATCGTCAAGATACGGCAGAGCGAACTCAGAGAGGCCTTTAAGAACGCAGTCCATTAAGCATGAAAAACAAAAGGGCGCATTTTTCAATCCAAAGCTCAGCTTAAGTGGACGATACATTCCAAATGGAGAAACGAATGCGGCATAGCGACTATCACGCTCCGTAATGGGGACTTGCCAATACCCTTGCACGAGGTTTAACGTACATATAGCTAGACTGTGACACATTTTCTACCCTCTGCTCTAGGTTTGGTATCGGGTAAGTTTGGTCTCGAATTATGGCGTTAAGACGCCGATAATCGATGCACGGCCTCGAATCTTTTCCCGGCACTTGAACCAATATTAGAGGGGATGTATAGTCACTCTCGCCCGGTACTATGACTCCCAGCTCCAGCATTTTAGTGATCTCCTCTTTCATGATCTGCTTTTGCACAGGGGAACAACGATACGGCTTGCTACTAATTGGCTCCTCACAAGTTAGCTCGTGACGTGTTCAATCACCGTAGTGTTTCCGGGACAGCCCGAAAACTCGTCTTCAAACTAGGAAACAATCCTTCTCAGGCCCTCCTTCTGGACTTACTTAACCTAGGATCTAGGTTTAACTGCACCAAGATTACCTCCGATCCCCTTTCGATTACATCACTAGAATTCAAAATTTCTGCTCCCTCTTCCTCTGAAGCATTCAACAGCAGATTTACGACTACTTGACGTAGAACGTATGGTTTCATCAAGTTATTGTGGTAAATTTTGTTTGGCCGCCTTCCTAATATCACTTCATAATTGGTATCACAAAGCTTCGATAATACTTTGGCGGGCCCTTCCCAATGAACCTCAAGCTTGTTCTTTTTGGACGGCCGTAGCAGCATTACCTCACTACCTATTTCAAAAGCGCGTTTCTTCGCAGATTTGTCGTAGTACTCCTTCGACAACACTTGTGCAGCCTTCATGTGGCTTTCCACAAGTTCTTTCACTTTTCCAAGCCTCTGAAGAAGGTTTAGAACATACGCAACTACATTGGGTCTTCATCAAATCCCTCCCAGGACTAGCGTAGCATTCGCAATGGTGTTCTCAAACTCCTGCCATACACATACTCTGCAGGGCTAAAACCAGTGCTCTCATGAGGAGCTGATCTCAAAGCGAACATAGCGGGAGGAATACACACTTCCCAGTCGCATTTGTTCTCGTAGCGAAGAGCTCTCAGTTTCCGTTCTAGAACAAAATGTATACGCTCTACCGGATTAGATTGCGGGTGATGGATCAAGCTGTACACTAGTTTTATTCCACATTTATCCATTAAGGTAGAGGTAAGGCAGCTGGTGAAGGCACTATCATTGTCGCATTGGATTTCAGAAGGAAATCCGACGCGTGCAAATATAGATAGCAGTGCATCCACGACATGAGGGGAATTGAGCTCCTTAAGTGGTATCGCTTCCGGAAATTTTGTGGCTACACAGAGGGCCGTAAGGATGTACCGACAACCTTGCCTTGACTCTGGCAGTGGCCCGACGACATCAATTACTAGGCGCCGAAAATGTTCTGTGATAATTGGCACAAGCTTCATGGGTGCCTTCCACTTGTCCGTGGATTTCCCTGCTCTCTGACAAGTGTCGCATGAGCGTACAAAGTGTTCGATATCCTTCCAGCATTTCGGCCAATTAAACTCAAAAGAAACTCTAGCCTTGGTCTTTTTTATGCCGAGATGCCCGGCCCACACGTTTTCATGCGCCAGTTCCAATAGTTGGCGACGATATTTTTGTGGCACCAAGAGCTGTTCATACTTGCGACCTTGCGCATTTGTGTAGCTCTGATACAGGAGCCCTGCTTTCTCAAAAAAGGAAACATTCTTTTTTCCTTTTTCCCAAGTGTACGCTTTCTATTAGCGCTTTATTCAAGAGGTCCTCACGCCGCTCTCGAATGAGCGTTTCTCGATCAACCTTCGACAGCTCACCCCAACTTTCCGCTAGAGGCGAGAGCGTTGCACCCCTCTCGCTCTGACTCAATCGCGCCATGTCGTCTCCTCCGCCTACGGAGACCGTGCCAGTCGCTTCGGCGACGGACTGCTCGAGTAACTGCTCAAATGACTCACATGGAAAATTTCCTGTCTGAGGTTCCGTCGACTCGCCGCCAAGGTCAAACAAATCAGTAGCTTTTGAACTTGATGCTTCACCACATTGAACAAGATCAAGCTCCTGCGAAAGCTTCCGCGCTTGCGATCGCGTGAGGGCCATGTACGCTAAGTTTGGGAAGAACGATTTACCCTGCTCTTTAAAAAGCTCCTCTGAGTTATTAGAGAAAAGATAAGGAAAACGATCGGGAAGCGCGGGAGACACAGCCGCTTCGGTGCGAAGCTTACCGAATGGGCCTTCAATGACAACTGTAGCGATTGGTAAGCAAGCACCCTGCTCCTCGGTGACTTGCCTGATCCACGCGCATTCTCCTGTAAAGTCATCCGGAGACACCAACGAAGAATGGACAACGTCCATGGTTGCCGCTGAGTCTCGAAGTGCTCTACACGTTTTCCCATTCACACTAATTTCTTGGAGATACGGCTCTAACAACCGCATGTTCTTTTCCGATTCTCGGATTGTTGCGAATGCAAACTTTAGCTTACAGTTTATCGCGATGTGGCCTTACTTTTTGCAGTTGTAGCAGATTAGTGGCTTCCGTGATTCAAACGCCCGTGTGGTTTCAGTGCGTTGTTTAGGAACCGCACTTAATTTCTCTGCTTCCGTTTGCCCTTCCCCTACACTGTCCTTCGTAAGAGACGGGTCCTTCTTGAAATTACGGTGCGGAGCGGGTTTCCGTTGATCAGGTTTCTTCGAAAGGCCCTCTTTCCTTTCATCCTTTTCAACGCGCACTGCCCCGCTATGCAACTTTCGGCGAGTATATAACTCCTCATCTAACTCTGCTGCCTTGTTCAGCTGTACTTCACCAAGTTTGTCCTGCAGCCAAAGCTTGACATCCCCCTCGATGCAGCGGTATAATTGCTCCAATGCGATGCATTCTATCACTTTATCGCGATCGTCATAAATACCTTGGCATTTGAGCCATTCAATTAAATCGGCTTTTAAACGAAACGCGAAGCCAACGTGTAACTCATTCCCCTTTTTAGCATACCGGAACCTTTCCCTGAAAGCCTCGGGTGACAACTTATAACGTCTCAAAAACACTTCCTTAACCTCGTCATAGCTCTCAAACGCTTCCGTTGACAAGCACGTTATCGCGTCGGACACTTCGCCGGGAAGAAGAGCTAACAGGTTCTGCGCCCAAAGGGACCGCTCCAAATCATTTCGCTCACAGACGTGTTCAAACTTGACGAGATACTTCGTCATGTCCTCGCCTACTACGAACGGTGGCAGTTGGTCCCGAATTCTATAACCGCTGACCTGAACAGTCGGAGAAGCTACGCTAGGCGCCTGCGAACACTGTAGGATTGCCAATACTATTCGTTTCAACTCGAGGCGCTCCTGTCTTTCCTCCTCCTCAACCTCGCGACGTTCGCGCCTTCCAGCTTCTTCGCGGCGTGCTTTGATATCCGCCCAGGCCTCATCGACTTCCTCAGCCGACACTCCTTCATCCTTCATGATCTCAAGGATCGCTTGCTTTCGTTTCGCACGGCCCAAAGTAATGCCAACTTCCTCACAAATTTCGATGAGTTCCTTTAGTTTAAGGTTCTCCATTGTTCACACTAGCCTTTTGCTGTTTGGCCCTGTCAAGAATCTACTTGCCGTACCCACTATAAGTCTACTAGCAAGACGCGCAAGCAGTTTTTAACACTGCCGTGATTACACCTTCCGCATTAACTTTGTTTTCAAAGCACTTTGACTTTGCTTGAAACGATCAAAGCTCACTCTAATGCTTCACACAGCCCTTCTCCAAACTACCATAACCTGTGCTAGAGTAGTCTGGTGAACTGAAGGGAAAACATCCGGCGCTCACCGCATCGATGTCACTGACGCTGGCCGATCCAGCAGCTGCCAACCACTGTTACGATGACGCACCACCGACGAGGTTACGAAGGGCGCCACGAAACTCGCCGCTGCCAAGGACACCGGCTGCGCCGACAGCGAAAGGGGCTCGAAGCAACGAGAGGCTTCACTGACGCATAAGTCAGCTGCCGGCCACGTGCCGCGGGGCTTTTTTTTTTATTGGCACCCGGTGGATCCTTTGAGTAACCAAATGTCCAACCAGAAGCGCCGCTGGCCATGATGTCGGAATCCTCCAATGGGGCCCACCGCTGCGCGTGGTTTCACCAAGGACGAGGGATGTTGCCATGCATTGCGTAGGACTCGCCAGATTCGAAGGCGCCGATTGCTGCGCGTGGTTGCAGTCAAGGACGAGTGATGTTCCCACGCATTGCGTAAGACTCGCCAGACTGGAAGGCGCCGATAGCTTCGACGGACTGGCGCGCTGAGGGAGCTTGCGGTGAGTTGCGTGACAGACCAGCGCCACCCCTTGATGACGTCGTTGAGTTGATCGCGTCAGGCGGGCTCGATTGCTGGCCTTGACACAGATTGCCTTTTGCAGAGGCATTGACGTTCGGTGTGGACTGGCAGGCGTAACAGCCCCAAGGAGTGTGCGCGCTCAGAGCAAATATGGTAGTCGAGAGCGACTGTATCAAACGAACACTGCGAGTGGTCCCACGTGATGGCACCTGGCCAATACCAACGCGGCTCCGGCCTCGAAGAGTTGGAAGGAAGGGGGAAAGAGAGGA